CCATTTATATATATGTTTCAAACCCTACACTAGAAAATTCCTAATTCCAAAGCTTTACTTTCAATAAACGAATCTGCCACAGTGAAAGATCGGACTCTTCAAGCTAAATAAAAAAGTTCTCATTCTCCTCTCCGTTGAATCTACAAACCATGGAAGCTCTCTTTACTTCTGCTGCATACACCATCCCCAATTTACCGGAGACAAAACCTCTCCTCAAATCTACCCTACTCGCTTCGTCCCAGTCTTCGTGTTGGTTCTGTAATTCACCAGCCAAGCGAGTCACGAAGCTGAGAATCAGGGACGGATCAAGTCATGGACTTCGAATACAAGCTCTCTTACGCAACGAGTCACCAAGTGAAGGCGAAGATAGTATGCCTGAAAGTAGTGGGTTTAGCTTTTTTCCTGGTGATATCTTCTCTTTGTCAGAGGTACCTTTCACTTGTCCTGTGATTCATATCATGAAAAGATTCAATATTTGTTGTGGGTATGCGTCTATGTGTGGAGTTCTTTTCTCTTAAGATAGTTATGGACTCAATACATTGGTTTTAGTGCAGAGTTTGTATAGAATCGAATCTTAGATTGGTGGAACTTGGAGTAGATAATTGCATTGGATGGTTTCTTTTGGCATTTATAGATTGATAGTTTCTTATGTGGTGTGAAGGAAAAGCTTGGGAGTAATCACAATGGTATAATCGATGTGGAAACATCTCTTGCACATCCTCAGGGTGCTGGGAATAGTGGAGGAAATCGAGGTGGGCTTTTTAGAACTCCAATATCTGGTGGAGTTCAAAATGCAACATCAGCTCATGCGTTACCTCGGCCTGCTTTAGCTGTACGGAACTTGTTGGAGCAGGTAAAGGGATTGTCTTTTAGATCGTTTGATAGTTCAGAAAGATGACAAGTTGTTTACCGGTTTGGTCTTGTTTTGTTTTTTTTAATGATTCAAGGCTAGGTTTGCTCATCTATGCACAATGATGTCGAGAATGCACCACCGTAGGGAAGGGTATCCGTTTGGCTCTTTGGTGGATTTTGCACCTGATCGGATGGGGCGTAAGTCACTGAATCTTTCTTTCTTTCTTGAATGATCATACTTCTACGACTTCTTTCTTTGTATGCTGAGTTTTTCTTCATAGTTTCGTTTTAATGACTTGCTAATGGACAATTGATTCGTAAGTACTCAACTGAACACACTGTAAAAAGTTTATCTTGATATGGATTCTGTGGGGACGAATAGGAGGAAGTGAACTCAAATTTTTGTTTTCCCCTGTTTCCTTAAATCCCATTATGGATGTAAATGTAGGGTTTTTGGGGTCTAAATAGTATTGAAGGCAGTGCTGATATTAAAATAGTACAGTCTTTAATTTATGTCTTTACTCTACTGGTTGAGATGTAGATGCACATTTTTTGAATGGTTTCTACTTTTTGTTTCCAGATCCAATCTTTTTATTTTCACCGTTGGCCATCCACACACGAAATCTCTTGGCTGAACCTAGATGCAGCCTCGTTGTCCAGGTAACATTGGCTATTGTGTTGAAACTATATAAGCAACAAACATTTCCTTTTTTGTTCTGTAACCAGGAATTTGCTTGGCAGATACCCGGATGGAGTGGCTTATCAAATGCAAGAGTGACATTATTTGGTGATGTGTACCCATTGTCAGAAGATGAACAGGTGGGTGTCTAACTAGTTGCTTTTTACTGAATCTCACCTGCTAAAACATCTGTATGTCTGAGTAATCGGTTGTAATATATCTGGTTGCGGCTTAGTAGGAGTGGGCTCATAAGCAATATATTGCAAAGCACCAGCACGGTCCTTCCGAGCAGTGGGGAAACTTTCACTATTTTAGAATGCAGAACATAAGGTTTGTTCCCAAACTTGTGCCCTCCTAAGTTAACAATACATGTACGATGATTGTTTATCTTTTATTCTACTTATAATCCGCTCCGTACTCGATGTTACTATTGGCAGTGATATATATTTCATTGGAGGCTTTGGTACCGTCGCTTGGGTTGATGTCAAAGAGTATGAGGCTTTACAGCCAGATAAGATTGCTGTTGATGGCGGTGAGAAGAACCTCAAGGTGCGCTTTAGATATTCCAATAGACTTGCCCCTCCATTCGTGTCCTTTGGTAAATTGAAGCAGTCTCATACTTTTTCCCTTTTTAACTTGTGATAGGAACTAAATGCCATTTTCTCGAAGCCGCTTAGAGAGCTACTGTCTACCGAGTCAGAGGTGGACGACGCTGCTCTAATTTCTATAGATAGCAAAGGGATAGATGTACGGGTTCGTCAAGGTGCTCAGGTAAAATAACATTGTATAAAACATTTTTTGTCCAGTTGATGTTAACACCTTCATAGATCATACACAGTGCGTCTCAGCTTTTCTTTTCTATGTGTCCAATTGTTTGGTTTTTGCAGTTCAGCATACAAAGGCTAGCGTTTGAGGAAGGTCATGGTGTTGAAACGCTAGAAGAAGCTAAATCTGCACTATGGAAAGTGATAGAGAAGGTCAAGCTAAACTATATCCAGAAATGACCAAGATCCTGGAATTTGCAGAAATGACACATCCCCCTTTTCTCTAGAGGGGTCTTTAAAAACAGTAGAACCTTTAAAATGTTGTTTGGTTCCTCTTTTTGACTAGCTAAAATTTTGTAGTACGTTTTTTTTATCCCTCCTTTTGTAGAGTAGCAAAATTGGGGGTAGAAAACGTCAATCTTGAAATATGAGATTGAAATCTGAGTTTCTAATAAATATTTGGGCGTTACTGTTATATCGAAAAATTCGAAGCCAACAAATTTTTTGTTATCGTTAATTCTCTACCATGGATGAGTCTGTTTCAGCGAGTGTACAAGCTTGATTCCGTCTGCTGTTACACCTGCATTGTCATTGACTCATAGGAGATAGACTGCTGTTATTTGGAGGAATAAACGACCGTGGGGAGCGGCTAAACTACACATATATAGGTCGAGTGGCTTGCCACGGGAGAAACAACTGTGGTGGAAATTACTCGGTGTTGTGGGACCTGTGAAACCGCCTCCTCGGGGTGCTTGTGATATTGCAGAGAAGAATATGGTTGTGCAAGGAGGAACCGGTTTGACTTTAGTTAGCCTCGGGCATACATTGATACTTGAACTTTCCGCGGATCTGAAGTCCCGGACATGGCACGAGGTGGTGTTTAATGCCTTACCACCACCTCGGTCGGGACATACTCTGCCCTATGTAAGCGAAAACCAAGTGGTTCTGTTTGGAGGAAGAGGATTGGGTCTTGTTGTAAACGTCTGATGTATATGGTTTACGATGTTAAATACTCCTCCTTATTTGTAAAACCATGAAATGGATTCAATCATTACTTATAAGAAGTGTTGAAACTGAGCTTGCTATAGAAATTGTCAACCGAGAATATAGATAGAGATATAGAACTTGTGTTTTGTGTAGTGGCTGAGTTGAGTCTCGAATTAGATACTTTCAAAGTAAGTAACCAATTAGAGAGGCCTGGACATGCAAATTTTTAGCTTTGAAGTAAACAAATAGAGGCTAAAAACATGGAATTGTTTGGGAGCAAATTATGGAGTAGCAAGACAAATATCTTATCAAAATATTGAAGACTTGGATAGATCATGCATAAACTAGTGTGACAATTACAAGTCACGATGTTTGGTGCTTTCCTTGCGCCTACCCCAAAGAACCTTCTTGTTGGATTTGAACAAAAGTTGGAACGTAGCTAACGAGAAGTGAGCATCTATCTCCTGCTTCATGATGGACCACTTGTATGTATTTATCCTCTCCCACTATGTGTAAGAAGCTGCTAGAGTTACTACGACATTTACCGGGACACACTAAAACTTTATTCTCACGGTCGGTCAAGAAATTCATCCCACTAATGAACATAAGAAACTGGTGGTTATAAGCTCGTTCCACTGTTAAGAACTTGCTCCATGACGTGGCTCCGGTACTCTGATCAATCTTACTTGCCACCCATACATCTATATCGAATCCCTTAGTGTCACGAGCTAACATACAAAGTTGTTGTTCTTCTCTAGTCACTGATAAAGCAAAAGCACTGTAAGAAAGATGAGCACCCGGGCCTGGAAGAGACACACTTCCAAATCTCTCGGTTGAAAAATCAAAACTTCATAAGAAATCCCCCCTTGGCGAGTATTCACTAAAACCAAGAGCAAGCCAATAAGTATTTCCATTCACATACGTGCCACGACCCCTAAGCCGTGGAATGGCCCAGTCTCTGGTATTACCAACACCCCTCCACGAATTAGAGGTAAAGTCATAGATTTCGTACTCAACTAGGCATGGGTCCATAAAACCATGCCCATGTTGATCAACCCTCAAGATTTTGTACTCGTTGCATGAGGATTTACCGAGAGCATAGAAATCGTGTTTCTTGTAGGAGTTTCTAGGTTGGATCCAACTGGTTTCCCTTGAACACGGATTCCAAACCACCAGTCTATTGTCTTTGGTGCTGCATAGAAATAAGCCGTCGCAGTGAAAGACTTCACAGCGTTGAAAGAGGATCCTTTAGGCTAAATTGACTTGTTACCTTTACAACGTTGTCGTTGATTCCATGGTAATCAACGCTCGCTAGATAAACCCTAAAATCAATCAACATGATAAACAGAGACGACTGCCTTGGTGCATAAGCAGAGTGCTTCTTCGCAAATTTCTCATCTTTGATCAGAGCGTTACATCCTTTGGATAATGATCGGAATCGTGCTAGAGAAGCCGCCGGAACCCTAGAAAGTATTTCAACAACCAAATCCTCTAGTAAAACCATCTACTGTGTGTGAATGTGATTTCTCTTCTTCATCATCAAACTTCGGATTGCAAAGAAATTAGGGATTTTAGGGGATTCTTGGAATTTGGGCTTTTGATCTTATGGGCCTATGATCGATCCTATTAAGAGATGCACTACGGCTACCCACTTGGGACAATTACATAAATAATGCATAAATTAGCGTGACAATTACAAGTCACGTGTTTGGTTCTCTTTCCTTGCGCCTACCCCCCCAAAGAACCTTCTTATTGGATTTGAACCAAAGTTGGGACGTAACTAACGAGAAGTGAGCATTTATCTCGTGCTTCATGATGATCCACTTGTATGTACTTATCCTCTCCGAAAATGTGTAGAGTTCTTACATTTACCGAGGCGCATTAAAACTTTATTCTCTCTGTCGGCCAAGAAATTCATCCCGTTACAAAACGGAAAAACCTGTAGGTATAGATCTCGTTCCACTATTAGCAACTTTCTCCACGATGCGGTTTTGGTACTCTCAATCTTAGTTGCCATCCATACATTTATATCGTCTCCCCCACGGTCACGAGTAGCTAATAGACAAAGTTGTTGCTCTTTTTCCTGAGATATTTGAGGCCTAATACAAAATTGAAAATCGGGCTCCTAGAATATACATAAAATGAAAGCACAAAGTTACTTAAAAAAAATCATGTTTGCAAAGAAAAAAATCTTCAAAACTAATAAAAATCTATCGATTTCG